CATTTAACAGATTTTTACCATAGCAATTTTACTTCTTTTTAATCTTTTACTGTTAAAGGTACGATGGATTTTTACAGTGTAGGCTAGTATTAGTATTTGCTGTGGTATTAAAATTGGTATTGAGAATTCTGAAATGTAAACTGTGGTATTAATTTTGGTATTTTAATGACATTATTTAAAAAAATTTATTAATAAATGCAAATAATACAAAAAATTGCACACAGCATACAGGAAATGGAATGGATTGATTGAACAGTAATTTTGTTTTCATATGAGTTTTTCTAGTTTAATGACAGACAGTTCTGACAGAAAATTACCCAAAATGCATTGATGTACTGTAGGGGTGCGTTCACACTTGGCATGTTTGGCTCGATTAAAACTAACCCTGGTGCGATTGCTCTGTTAGTGCTGTTCATTTGAGCATGTGTGAACGCTTCCAAACGAACTCTGGTGCTGTTCGAATGATATATGAACGCAACACGGACCAAATACTGCGCTTCCAAACGAACTCTGGTGCGGTTCGAATGATATATGAACGCAACACGGACCAAATACTTCTAAACGAACCAAAAACAGGAAGTAATGACAAGATGCGACGCTATGCGACATGATTTGACGACGCGGTGTAACCAAAACAAAATGAGCAGAGGGCAAACGTGGAGCAACGATGAGGTAAAGTGCCTTTTATGAGCTCCTTGTGAGTTTGCAGGTGGTGAAAATAAAATTATATGTACATGCAAGAATGAGCGCGCTAAATCCAGCAGACGGCATTAGGTGTGTTTGCCTTAAAGCAGCGCTGAGCAGACCGATCGGTTAATGGGTGCTTTGATATCATAGCCGCAGCGCCACTTTAAGTCTAACGCACCTTTTGTTTGTGGTGTTCGGTGAGTTCCGTCACGATATATGCGTCATTCAAGCCGACCAATCAGGTTGTGAATGTATAACTATGCCTTTAGGTTCGCTGTCTTTAGGTTCGCTGTCAAAAATGCCAATGTGAACGCTAAGCGGACCAGGACCAAATGTATCATTTTCCTTTTTGGTCTGGACCAAATGAACCAAACAAACCGAACTACAAGTGTGAACACACCCTAAGATAATCACATACTGCATCTTTGTGTGCCACTGCCTGGGCCAAGTGAATGGTTTCTTTCTGCAGATATTTGAGAAACCCTGCTGTTACTGTTACTTTATATATAAAATAAAATAAAAATAAAAAATTATATTGCCACTCATTACAAGCAACAATTATTTTAAATGCTAAGCCTACGGTATAACAAACTTATTTAAAATGAAACTGAAACTGAACCTCGTGGTGGGCTCACGTACCTTTCATTTTGCATTAATCGTTTCTATGAGTGAATCATTAGATGCGGTATAACATTTGCTTGCTAAACTATCATTTAT